CACTGGCTTGCTTTCAGATGAGATTACTCTCCTTCATCTGCACAGCCCCTTTCTGGCCTGCACATAGCAGCACTCCCAATTCATGTGGGCCAGTGTGAGTGCTTCTTCTCCATAAGCTTATCCTGTGCCTTGAACTAGTACAGCCACAGCATGAAAGAGGGTTAAGATGCTACAGGTATAACACCTTGTTCCTGCCCCATATGCAAAGTACACCGAGTTAAACAGGGACTGGTAATGTTTGTTACAACACCGGTTGATTCACAACAAATTACTCTTTGTGGACATAAGTCACTGTGCTGGGAAATAACTTCTGCTACTACTTCACTGGCGACAGCTACATTAGACCCAAGACAGCAAGATAAAAGGTTTTCTAGGTCACTGGGAGTCGCAGGAGGTGCGGGCACCATCAGACAGTTCTCATCATGCTGTGCTCCCTATCCTCATGGGACCTTCGCCATGTTAAACCCACGGAGCACAGCTCAGGAGCACTGATTAAATTTTATGCTGTGGTAGCAAAGTAGGAATAACATGCAGAATGGGATTAAGTGTTAATAGGAGCTCGTATCCAAGCCAGGACCACTTAGTTATGTCAGTGAGATAATTCTAAGTATTAATACCCTTAAAAAATGTACCCAACTTCAAAGGGGAAAGCAAACAACAAAAACTATGCTGGTGATGTGGAGAGCATGCTGTATGCCCAGTAAGTCAAATGTAACTAACTATTTTCACTGCCTTGCACTGCGCCAGAGTTATTTCACGAGTCTTTGACTGGGTGACATGGCCTCAGCTGGGAGGGAAGTGTGGAGCCAGCTCCATCCCCATGGCAGCTGCTTTTGTGTGAGAGGCAAAAGGACTCTGTGCCTGGGAAGAACCTCCCAAGCAGGGAGGGAAATTCCGAAAGGGAACCACACAAGGAAAATGAATTCTGATTGCAAATTACTTCAGATACAAGCAAACAAAAGCAAAGGAGAATTGTGCTGCAAATGCCAGACTTGTTTTTCTCAGTTAAGTGGAAACCCCACTGAATACACAGACCCTGCTGTCCAGGCCTCCCTGGGGGTGCAGGGATGAGATGTTTTATGCATTTTAGCCACTGCAGGCACTATTTTGATGCCCCTTAGGTAGTTCTCAGAAAGGGTGAACTCAGTTCTTCCTTCACACTAGTAGGGTTTGGAGGCCATAGGCATCCTTGGGACTATGAACTCAAGCTGGGAGCAGCAATAACCCCCTACCCTGCACGCCTCCTTAGATTCCAGTGAAAGAAAAAAATCTGTGGGAGGCATTCTGAGTGTAACCAGGGAAGCATGCAGGAATATGGGACTGAATTAAGTGCATTCAAATTACAACATCCTCCAGGTATTTCTTCATTTTTTTCTCCCTTTCTTCTGAATCTAACGTTATCAGTTAAGTACGTGAGACTCCACAGAGCTGAAAACCAGACCTCCTGTCTCACACCTAGGAGAGACAGCACAGCATGCTGGAAACGCCTCCCGTTCCCCACAGCCTTGTCAGGACTCTTCTCAGGTCTGCGCAACAGCCCACATCTGACTAAGGAACCAGTGCAGTCAAGCTGTAAGGACATACTTCACTGGAAGCCTGTGAAACGAGGTGGGGAGTTAAGTGCAACCTTAAGTGATCTACTCAGTGAGGCCTAGAACCCTACAGCCCCATCCTGATACAAGTTGTGCAACTGATTCCCTGAGCCTCAGGTAAAGCAGTGCTGAGCTGCCAGCAATGCACAGCCAGAAACGGCTGATCCTGCTATCAAGAACAACATTGTAGTCTCAACTTCCAGGTCCTAAAGTCATCACAGAATCACCAAATGGTTTGGGCTGGGAAGGACGTTAAAACTCATCGAGTTCCAGCCCCCTGTCACAGGCAGGGACGCATTTCACTAGACCAGGTTGCTCCAACCTGCCCTTGAACACTGCCAGGGATGGGGCAGCCACAGCTTCTCTGGGCAACCTGTGCCAGCACCTCACCACCCTCACAGGGAAGAGCTTCTGCCTAAGAGCTCATCTCAGTCTCCCCTCTGTCAGGTTAGAGCCATTCCCCCTTGTCCTGTCACTACAGCCTTTCGTCAAAAGCCCTTCTCCAGATTTCTTGTCAACCCCTTTAGGCACTGGAAGCTGCTACAAGTTCTCCCCAGAGCCTTCTCCAGGCTGAACAAGCCCAGCTCTCTCAGCCTGTCTCCAGAGCAGAGCTGCTCTGGCCTCTCAGCATCTTTGTGGTCTCCTGTGGACTCACTCCAACAGCTCCACATCCCTCTTTTGTTGGGGGTCCCAGAGCTGGACTCAGCACTGCTTGGGGGGTGGGTCTCACCAGAGCAGAGCAGAGGGGAAGAATCCCCTCCCTTGACCTACTGAACACGCTGCTGGTGATGCAGCCCCACACATGGGTGGTTTCTTGGCTGCGAGAGCACACTGCCGGGTCATGGGGAGCTTCTCATCACCCAGCACCCCCAAGCCCTTCTCATGGTTGCTCTCAATCCAGTCTCACTCAACTTGCAGTTGTGCCTGGGACATCCCAACCCAGGTGCAGGACCTTGCACTTGGTCTTGTTAAAGTCTATGAGGTTTGCACACTCCCACCTCCCCAGCCTGTCCAGGTGCCTCTGGATCCCATCCCTTCCCTTCAGTATGTTGACCACATCACACAGTTTGGTGTCATCAGCAAACCTGCTGCAGGTGCACTTGAGCCCACTGTCCATGTTGCTGACAAAGATGCTGAATAGTGGCAGTCCCAGCACCAACCCTGAGGAACACCACGCAACAACGGTCTCCAGTTTTTCCCAAATAATCAATGTTCTTCCTTGCCTTTCCTATTACTGTAACTCAAAGGACACTCCACTGGAAGAAAGCAGAGTTAAGTAAGCACCGCTGGTGGGACACTACAAGGAGTATTACAGAGTTTCATCCCTTGGTTCCAAAGGAAGATAATCACATATCAGGCAGCATATACAGTGAAAATGGCATGCAAAAAATGTACCAGAGCACTGATTTACAAAGCACTGTTTGCCTTAAAGAAATTGCATGGGAGAAAGTAAGTTTTCCTTAATGTGACAGTAATTCAGAGATGTCTCTGGCATAAAAGCTGATGAGCTGCACCAGAAGAGTAAAATGCAGCAATTAAGTGAAGTATCATCACCCATCCATGCCAGTTTTCTCCATCCTCTTTTAACAAACCCATTTTCCAGTAGGGCACAGCTTCCCTAGCACAGCATCTCTTGTTTCACACCAACCTACAAATATGCCATTTTTGAACATGCAACCTATCTATAACTCCATTTCTGAACATGCAACCTACATACAACTTGAGGTAGTCACCGAACACCAAAGAGAAACCCATGTTTCTTCTCAAAAGGTGTAATTACCTAGGCTCTGGCTCTAAAGACACTGCAAAGGAGATTTATTTTCTATTAGCCCTCAAAACCCAGTTCTACTGTAATGAAAGCTGAGATGCTTGTGACACAGCAGTTTGCTCTTCACAGTGGTTTAAAATTTATGCCAGCAGTTTATTATTTAAATGGATTTTCACTAGGTGAATGCGACAGAGCTGCTGCATTCAAGTTGCACAGCAACACTAAGGGAGAATTAAGAATCACAGTTAAGTTGTGTATTGTCATGTAAATGACAAAGGAATGTCACATGGGATTCTGTGTATTGTTCAGAGAGATAAACGCAGTGAACTATGAGTTCAATAGAGCCCCATGTCAGTTAAGCAACTGAATGGAAGCTACTCTTGGAGGCTGCTGGTATGTTTTAAAATAAATACTCACACATTCAGTTGCAGTATCTCATACAGCTCACTACCTGACCACTCACTTTGAGTTGTTCGTAAAATTGTTGTCTTGTCCTACTGAAAAAAAGAAATATAAAAGGAAAACAGTGTAATGGCCAAAGAAAATTGTTGTTAAGTGAAGTTTAAATGATTATTAACAGACCAAAGACCTCTTGCAGCTTGATGTTAGCGCTTGATGTACTGAAGACAGCCCAGCAATCACTGAGTGGGGTGCTGCCCTTATTAAGAGGCATCTCTCCAGATGCAGAAGAGATTATGCTTGTTTGATTATAGCAGAATATACACTAGTATTTGGGGTTCTCCTTTATTATTATTCTGGCTGTATTTTGAGCCATACAATGGCCTCTTCTGTGAACACTGGTATATGTAAAAAAGCAAACGAGATGAACTCATTTTATTTTCTCCACCATTACCTCTTCACCCCACCAAAAGTAAAACTTTTGTAAGGAAAAAAACCCCACCACCAACTATTTCAGCAAGATTAAAAAGCTTTCCTACTCTTCAGTTCTGCCTCAACCCCCATTACAAAGGTAACAGCGGGAGGAGAGGACTGAGAACTGCTCTAACACCCACTGAGAGGACTTTTGACAAGGGCCCTTAGTGACAGGACAAGGGGGAATGGATTTAAACTGACAGAAGGGAGATTGAGATGAGATACCAGGAAGTCCTTCCCTGTGAGGGTGGTGAGGCCGTGGCACAGGGTGCCCAGAGAAGCTGTGGCTGCCCCATCCCTGGCAGTGTTCAAGGCCAGGTTGGACGGAACTTGGGGCAACCTGGTCTAGCGGAAGGTGTTCCTGCCCATGGCAGGGGTGTTGGAATTGGATGGGCTTTAACGTTCCTTCCAACCCAAACCATTCCATGATTCTATGACTGAGAACATGTATAAACACCCACTGATAGCAAATGCCACCCCCAGAGTTGTTTCTGGTACAGCAACACTTGATGTGACCTGTATCAGGAGGTTGGTACCCAGTCCCAGCATCAAAGAGGCTGATCGTGGCTAAGCTCACACCATCTCTATCAGTTTGCTGATAGTAATTGCTCCGGTTACCTCAGTGCTACTCAGGTGGTTCATTTCAGGCTTTAAAAAACACACAGAAGTCTATTCAGCTGAAGTACACAACAGTCACATCAGGGCAGATCAAGGAGGTGCGCGCTTCCTGGGCAAAGCTTGGGCAAGCATTCAGGACAAAGAAGGCAAAACATTAGCACACTTTACTGAAATATCAGTTTCTTTAGTATGTTACAGAAAAGCTTATGAACGTATAGAATGTACATAAAAGGCAGACTTTGTAAAATAAAAGGGTCTTCTTTTATAAAAAAATTAAAAAGTCAAAGTAAAGTGCATGAAACAGGTTTTCCTCCACTTTAACTATTGCATCAAAGTCTTAGCACACAGCAATGTTTATAAAAGCTGGGAGATCCTCTTGGGTCACCCACGGGTGAGTTACTTCACTGGTCAGACGAAACGATGATGGTGATGACAACAAAGGAGTGTTTAAGGATCGACACAGTTGAACAGTTCAGGGCCAGGCTGGATGGGGCAACCTGGTCTAGCGGAAGGTGTCTCTGCCCGTGGCAGGGGGCTGGAACTGGATGAGCTTTAAGGTCCCTTCCAACCCAAACCAGTCTGTGACTGTATGATTCTATGAAGTTCAACCAGATGCTTCCACAACAAAGACTAAGAACTAAAGGAATATGGACTTTTTATACACTTCTCAACTAGATTTAACTCTCATTAAAGAAAATCGGTAAGAAACAAGCTTCATAAATAGGGCAGTTTTGCTAGTTCGGGACTCCTCTATTGTGCAATCAGTTCTTGGTCTATGAATATCAACATTCATACTTAAATATGCTGTTGCAAAAGGGATAAGATATAAAAAAGACGTTTCCGCCTGCCTCCTTTGGAAGAAAAAGGTAGTCGACCCCGATCCAAAGAAGACAGCTTTCCGTCAGGGTCTCTTAAGAAGGCGAATGCACCGAAAGAGTGAAGGACGCTAACCCTCTCCCTGTTTCAGGCCCTGGGAACAGAGCCCCGAAGCTTTACTCCGCTATACTCATACCGATAGCACCGTGCACCCTCCGAGGGCTTGACAAACGCGGATGAATTGCCCCAGCAGACAGGGAGCCCCTTACTATAGGCACCCGAGCGTGAGCACCCGCTCCCCCCAGCCCAATCACGGCAGTGTCACACCCGGTCGTCCCGGCGGTTACGGAGCACCGAGCCCGGAGTAGCATCCACCCGGGGCGAGTGTCCCTTTCCCTGGGAGAGGGGCGGAACCGGGCGGTGCGGGCAGCCGGCCCCGGGGCCGGTTAGAGCACAGCTGCCTGTGCGCGGCAGTGGGCGATGTGCCGGTGCACGAAGTCGACCCGTGCCTGCAGCAGCTCGGCCTGCCGCTCCGAGAGGAAGCCGAGGCGCGCCCAGAGCGGTTCCCGCGCCCGATACCGGCGGCGCAGCTCGGCAGCGGCGCTCCGGCGGCGATGGAGCTCGGCCACCCGCCGCGCCGTGCCCTCGCGGAAGACGCAGACGGAGCGGAGCAGTGGCTCGTTGTAGGGGTCCCACATGGAGAGGAGGCGGTAGCCGTGCACCAGCCCCGCCTCGTTGTCCATGAAGACGAGCCCGCCGTCGGGGGCGCGGAGCAGGTTGCTGGTGGCGCGGCGCATGACCCGCGGGTCCCACTGCAGGCTGAAGAGGTTGCTGACCAGGCGGTCGAAGTTGGCCGTCAGGTAGTCGAAGAGGATCAGGTCGCTCCACTGCACCAGCTCCACCAGCTGCGACCGCGGCAGCGCGCCCAGCTCCCCCGCCGACAGCGGCTGCAGCCGCCGCCCGGCGCTCGCCTCGGAACCCCAGGGCGCTGGGGCCACCACAGCGGTCAGGTTGTCCACCCAGCGCGTCAGGCTGACCACGGCCCCCTCGGCCCAGGGCGAGCCGCGCAGCTCCTCCCGCACCGGCTCCCAGCGCCGCCCGCGGGTCTCCACCAGGGCGAGGGCCATGGGCGGCAGCCTCTCCTGCATGCCCAGGACCCCGGCCAGGTGGTAGGACAGCGCCTCGCCCTGGATCTGCTCCGGGTTGATGCCGTACCGGACGCAGGCGCGGCTCCCGTCCGACAGCCGCGCCAGCCGGTTGGAGCTACGCCCGCAGCCGCCCCGCTCCAGCGAGGACACGCGTGCGGTGCGGGCGGCAGACAGCCACGCCGCCGCCTCCTCCGCCGCGAAGCCCCGTGGCACCTGCTCCTCCAGCTCACGGCTCCAGAAGATGCCCCGCTCCACCGGCGAGCCCGCGGCCGGCTCGTCCCGCTCCTCCCGGCCCGCCGCCAGCAGCGCCCGGAAAGTTTTCTGCCTCCCTCCGCCGGGCTCGCCCCGCGCCTCCGGGGAGCGGCCCCAGTCCCGCGGCTCCGGTGCCTCAGTCTCCGCTGCCGCCTCCCGCCGCAGCAGCACCGTCCAGAGCCCCGGCAGGGTGCCCAGCAGGAGCAGCCCCAGCGCGGGCAGCGGGCTCGGCCTCGCCCGCTTCATGCTCCCGTCGCTTCACGCCACTGCCGCATGGCCGCGGGCCGGCCGGGGCGTGCTGCACCAGCCGCCCGGCGAGCAGCAAAGCCCCGCCAGCAGCCCAGCGCTGTGTGCGCCCAGCCCCGCCGCGGCCCGGAGACACGGGCACCGCACCACGTGGGGGAGCGGGGGTGCGCCCGGACCGCCCCGTCTACCGGCGTGGGGCCGCCGCTTAAAGCGGCGATGCCCGGTCGAAGGGGCGGAGGCGAATTTTGAAGGTGGGGGGGTGGCCGAGCCAGACCCCCACCCGCAGGACGGGGGAGTCCGGACCGCCGCTTCCTCTTCGCCGCTGCACAGCACAAAGGAGCTCGCAGACACAGGGAGAGAGGGAGGGAGGGAAGGACGGAAGAAAGGAGGGGGAAGGCGGCGCGCCCGCTCGTGGGGCCGCCCCCCGCGCTGGTGCACGGCGGGGTCGCGTCGCGGTCACCGGCGGATTGCAGCTGGGGGGCCGGGTACCGGGAGCTGGCAGGTGGTTGCACAAAGGGACAACCCTGTGGCCGCGGTCGTGAGACCCCACAGAGCATCATCGCCTCCTCCTCCGCCTCCTCCCGCCTTGGCGGCGGCAGGGGACAGCCGGTGTCTGCGCGCAGGGGAGCAGAGTTCACAATCCTTACACAGCGGTGTGGGCGGCGTGCTCGCCCATCACGAGTGTCGCAGCGTCGTCGGTGTGGGACCAGCTTTTCCGGGGGTTTGAACTCCCCAGGCAGGAAGTTTGAAGCCTGCAGAGTCGGTGCCGGGCACGGGATTTCCCACCCGAGGAAAGGGCAGCCAGCCCTCCTGTTCAAATTTTGTCCCGTTGAGGTGTTTAGGGTGTACAGTGGCAAATCCGAAGAGTAGCTACTTCTCTGTGTCACCCCCTTCCCCATTCCCAGTTTCCTGCCTTACCAAGGCAAGGAAGCTTCTCTCTGCTCTTTCTGCATTTTAGAATCATAGAATGAACCAGGTTGGAAAAGACCTTCAAAGATCATCAAGTCCAAGGTTCATCCCAGCACTGACAAGTCCACCACTAAGACATATTACTAAGGGCCTCATCTACACGGTTTCTGAACACTTCCAGGGGTGGTGATTCCCTGTTCCAATGCCTGAGCACCCTTTTGGGGAAGAAATCTTTCCTAATATCCACTAAACCTCCCCTGGTACAGCCTGAGGCCGTTTCCTCTTGTACCTTTTATTGGAGATCTCTCTTGGGAAGAACATGTTTGTGAGATAAGTCAAATTAAACACTGCTTCTTGCTTCAATCTATCCTCCAAAGTGGTTATTGGAGGTGGCTCAGCAAAGGAAACGCACCACATGCAGAAATGTTCAACATCGCAAAAGCAAAAATCCCTTTTTCTCCATCTCATCTCTTCAACTCTTCCTGCTCTTTTGTGATACCACCACAACTCCCAGTTTTCCAGCCACTCTACAGTATTCCAGGTTGGATAGAATACCGTTTATTTTCTGCTAACATAAGGAAAAAGGAATTATCTTTTTTTTTTTTTTTTTTTCTCGCAGGGTTTTGTTAAAACCGTTCAAACTCGCCTGATTCACCTTCACAAACCCCGCCAGCAGCCCATGGCCGTGTCGCACCAGCTCCTCCCGCCGGCCCCGCCGCTGCTCTGCAGCCGCCACTGACTGCATCGGTGGTGGGAAACAGCCTTGATCTGCCGTCCTCATCCTCGCATCCAAGCGGTGTCCAAGCCGAGGACACCAGATTGTAGGAAACCCTTTGAGGGGCTAGGGGGCCGGTGTCTCTGCACAAGAAATGGGACAGCCGGCATGTGTCAGTTGTGGCCAGTGTCTTTTCTAACAAGACATCTGATTGCAACTGTGAGCGTCAGTGCTGTTGGGTGCCTCAAGCATATACGGACTTGCTGACATAATAGTGAGAAATAGTCACCATCCTGGCTTTGCAGAAGCCACCCATGTCCTGGGCTGCATCACCAGCAGAGTGAGCAGTAGGTCAAGGGAGGGAATTCTTCCCCTCTGCTCTGCTCCACTCTGGTGAGATCCCCACTGCAGTGCTGCATCCAGCTGTGGGGCAACAACACCCTGTTCCTGTGTCCCTGCCCATGTCACTATAAGTTATTTCCACACTAGGAATGCTTTGTACAAATATATCAGTGACACAGCCCATGTGTGTGACTGACTATGGCTCTGTCAAATTGGATTTGTATTCCTCAACCAAAAAATAAAGCATCCATCATGATCAGATAACTCCAGCAACCAAGAGCAGGATTTATAGCTGGCTGTGTCTGGGGGAGGGCTGAAGAAGTTAAGGTGCTCTGCATTTCATAGCAGGGAGGAGAACATTAGAGGCCTTGCCTTGCAGGCATGTTGGCAATTTCCTGTCTCAGCCTGGAACAGAGAAATCTGGAAGCTCTTCTATTGCTTTGATACCACAGTTGATTTCACAAAAAAGATCCCAGGCTGGTGGGACTCTACAGGGATTTTGGTTTTGTTATCTGGAGTGCAACGTAGAACATGAAGATGGGCAATTTCCACACATGGAATGGATCCTATCTCCCCTGTACTCTGTGACTTTTTGTTTTTAGTATCTGTGACTCTCTGCTTGTGATATCAAAGCAATAAATTAATAAGCATTTCAGATTTTGTGCCTGGCTCTTGAAAGTATTCAGAAGACTTGTCAAGTGCCTGGGAATGCTCAGTCAGTTTAGGGACTTGTTTTCATCCCTATGAAAAGTAAACCTCAAAGACGGGAAGGAATCTGTGTTATGCTCAGACTGATGTTCTCGGGGCCTCTGACAAGCTGGCTCTGCAGACAGGCATAAAAGAATACTGAACTGATAGGTCAGCAGCACCAGTTATACAAATACAACCCAGCCTCTGATGAGTTCTAATAATTCAGCTGGCAGGATGTGCAAAGCGTTTGACACTGTCCCACATGACATCCTGATCTCTAAATTGGAGAGACATCAGTTTGATGGATGGACCACTCAGTGGATAAAGAACTGGCTGAATGGCGGCACACAAAGAGTTGTGGTCAATGGCTCAATGTCCAGCTGGAGACCAGTAATGAGTGGTGTCCCTCAGGGATTGGTGTTGGGACCGGTCTTGTTCAACATCTTCGTTGCTGACATGGACAGTGGGATTGAGTGCTCCCTCAGCAAGTTTGCCAATGACACCAAGCTGTGTGGTTCGGTTGATATGCTGGAGGGAAGGAATGCCATCCAGAGGGACCTCGACACACTTGTGAGGTGGGCTGATGCCAACCTCATGAAGTTTAACCATGCCAAGTGCAAGGTCCTACACCTGGGTCAGAGCAATCCCAGACACAGCTACAGGCTGGGCAGAGAAGAGATTCAGAGCAGGCCTGCAGAGAAGGACTTGGGGGTGCTGGTTGATGAGAAAATGAACATGAGCCGGCTTCAGTGTGTGCTCACAGCCCAGAAAGCCAACCGTATCCTGGGCTGCATCAAAAGGAGCGTGACCAGCAGGTCGAAGGAGGTGATCCTGACCCTCTACTCTGCTCTTGTGAGACCTCACTTGGAGCATTGTGTGCAGTTCTGGTGTCCTCAACATAAAAAGGACATGGATCTGTTGGAACAAGTCCAGAGGAGGCCACGAGGAGCTGGAGCACCTCCCGTATGAAGACAGGCTGAGGAAGTTGGTGCTGTTCAGCCTGGAGAAGAGAAGGCTGCGTGGAGACCTCATAGCAGCCTTCCAGTGTCTGAAGGGGGCTTATAAGGATACTGTAGAGGGACTCTTCACTAGGGACTGTAGTGATAGGACAAGGGGTAATGGGTTCAGACTTAAACAGGGGAAGTTTAGATTGGATATAAGGAAGAAGTTCTTTACTGTGAGGGTGGTGAGGCACTGGAAGGGGTTGTCCAAGGCAGTTGTGAATGCTCCATCCCTGGCGGTGTTCAAGACCACTTTGGACAAAGCCTTGGGTGCCATGATTTAGAGTGAGGTGTCCCTGCCCATGGCAGGGGGGTTGGGACTTGATGATCTTAAGGTCCTTTCCAGCCCTAACTATTCTATGATTCTATGATTTTCATGTCTTGGGGTGAGATCCTTGGCTGATTCTAACTGGCAAAGCTGCCTGGTGGTGAGCAGGTTGCTGCAACTTGCAGCATCCACATTAGAACAGTTCTGGGAGGCCACTGCTCTCTACTTATCCTGAATGCATCCCATTCCTGAGGGAATCTCCATAACATTTGTGTTCATTACAAAAAAAATACGCATTTTTTTAGGCCAGAAATTAAATAGGTTCAAGAAAACTCTTCAAGTGAAACTGCTGAGGAGATTTCGGAGACAAAATGCAATTACCACATGAAAGGATAAATGGTGCATTGAGTACTAGCCTCTGCTTTTAGGTAGGGTTTTCTGAAGGGTCACACACCATGGCCTACAATATTCATGTCATATATACTGATAACTCTCCATCTTCTGGCTGCCAAAATAATCTTCACTCTGGTAAGTGAATAATATTGTTCAATTCCATTCATGGTAACTCCAGGAACCTGCCCTGGCATAGCACAACAGAAGAGAGAGTGGAAACCCAAACTCAGTGACTCTCCAGAAGAGAGAAGGTTAAACCACATAGACTTTCTTTCCTTCTGAGCCATCCTGCCAGCCCATGAAATTGTACTTGAAGTATGTATGATTTGGAAAGGTAGTGCCTTTAGGTAGAGAGTCTCCATCACCTTCTGGTAATCTGGGCCACGGGTTCAATACCTTCACTGTTAAAAATATCCTCACTTTAATGTGTTCTCCAGGCACTCAGTGCTGGGATGGGCCCAGTTAAAAAGTGGGATGGATCAGACTTGACTAGGAAAATGAGGCGAGGCTAAAGGTAGGGTTACTATTGTTACAGGAAGGAAAAAAAAATGTAAAACTTAGCTTCTACTGAAAAAAATATACCCAAGACACATCTTAAACTTTGCAGCAAGTCCTAAAAAAGTGCAGCTTTTGCACTGCCAGGGAAATTGTTCTAATTAGTCTTAAGGTAAAACCCCTGGCTGCACCAGTGGAAAGCCAGCTGTGCAGTTCTCTCTAAGCGAAGCAGGGAAAAGGGCCGGCTTAAATAGTGAAACCAGTTTCCAGGCCTCTAATATCTCCTCTCTGTTGTGTTGCCTGGAGAGGCAGCTGGATTCTTTCCAAGGACAGAGGAGCCCCTCTGGCTGCCGAGTGCTGTAGGGGGAAGACACAGAAGAAAGAAACATATGAATTCCCTGGACCTTTATTTTTCTTACCCCAGCCTCTCCCCTGCTTGAAGGCACATTCTGCCCCTGCATGAAGCTATGAGATGAGGTGGTGAGAAATGGGGAGCAGTGTCCCAGTCTTCTCCTTTGACCCATGTGTCCTGCCAGAGGAGGTCCCCTCAGCA